CATGAATATATCTCGATTATAATAATTGAACACGAAGGTCTAGAATTTGATACAAATAGAAATAATGCTGTTATTTTTCTACTACTTTAGAGCCGTCTGACTTTTCCATTTCTCTCAAATCCTTGGAATATTTGGAAAATACGAAGCCCCATGAGCTTATTTTGTAGGGTTACCTTATTGGGTTTATGCTATGTTCTAGGAAATGTTCTACAATTTGATTTGAATAGAAATAATCCATTGTTGACTATTTTATGAAGCACTAACTTGAAATTAGTACTCAGGAAGTTAAATTTAATTAACTCATGAAGTTGCTCTACCTTCTTATGAAGCACTTATGCTTCATAAGCATAAGCACTTATGAAGCACTTACTTGAAATTTGTACTCAGGAAGTTAAATTTAATTAACTCATGAAGTTGCTCCACCTTCTTATGAAGCTAACTTGATTGGCAAATGGCGTATCAAAGAGTATGTGTGAGTTATATTTGTGTTGGATTCATACGCTAACAGATTCCAATCCTACGTTTCAAAAAATAGTTATCAAAATTACAAAAAGAGGCAAAAAAAATTGTATATCGTATGGGCACTATTTTTATACCAACTGAATAACAAAGATAAAGCCTATTTTGCGATTCCTCCCACCACTTACATTTTGAATGCTCTTCCAACTCCAGTCAGGCATACCAATCAACATAAAACACTTTGTTCAATGGAACACACTCTCACTTACTGATATCAACTCACAGATGTATTTTATCTGCGATCTTATCGCCATTCATCTATGAAAGAGTTATTCATTATGAAAAAATTCAACAAACATCGAGACAGAAGACGATGCATCGCTCTTTATCTTCCATGCATTATTAAATGATTCAGTGCCTATCTCACGCAAACAGCAATCTCATATCGTTGAAAAACACGGCATTTCCGTAACCAGGTTCCAGAATAAATTTATTTCCCAGAATAAGCGCGGCAGAACCTTGAATTCACCGCAACACCATAATTGGTACACATTCTTCAATAAATCCGTGGAATAGGATGTACGCATTCCCATTGTCGATGTTATCGACAAGTTTTTATCCCAAGTTCAACAAATTAATGTCAATGGTTTCGATGCAGAAATTATTTATTGATTTCTGATTTATCAGTTCCAATTAATTCATTCATTCGTCTTTTCTTAGTATTATTTGAAGTTTCCTTCAATTACCTCTCTCTGTGAGGGAGCAATTGGAAGTCCAGATGATTTTGGAATAGTATATAAAATACCAGATTTCTTACGTGACTACATCAATATATAAAAATTTGGGAAACTAGAATAAAAAAATTTTAAACTACAGAAAGGAGGAGTGTATATCGTTTCTAGGCATACTCCTTCAGCAGGCAACGGTGAACTCTAAAGCAAATTCAAATCCAAGATAGAGTGGATGTAAACATTGACATGCCCTACGCACGTGATATTGAAAATCCCAAGAATTGGCCAGGGTCGTATTCAGAACCAACATCTTGTTGATCTCAAATGCTATATCATACTTAGGAAAACTTTTTTATAACGAGTGAAATGCGCAAGTTTTGCAGTTTAACGGAAAAAATGCAGATAATATGTGTAATATAAAAAGATTTTCATTGGATTTTTCACAACACACTCAAGCATTATACGAAAAGAGACGTAATTATTTTTTTATTGATAATTTTTATTTTATGTAAAATCAAAAGGGATATTAATCAAAATTATTCAACTGGATGAATTTGTCTCTTCATCAGTAGTGTCATCCTCACCAATCTGAGTTATCAGTGGCTCGATTTGTGCCACTATTATGTTATCAAGCTTCCACATGTCTCGACTTCCGATATCACATGCGGAACACACTTCTCCCATTTCTCCGCTGTGACTCTTTTCAAAGCCTCATCAAAAAGTACTTTGAGATCTGCAAATTTGAACGTGGTGTTATGCTGAGCTACAAAATTCTTCACATCCGCTCATATAACCCCGATGGGATTGAGCTCGCAGTGGTATGGAGGCAGACGAAGGACAATTTTGTTTTGACCTGCTGCCATCTCATCGACTATATATTTTTGGTATTCAAGCTTGCGCTCCTTGACAATTTTTAGTAGCTGTACTCTTAGCATTGAGTCTTCAAAGCTAATATTCTTTGCTCGCAGCCAATTTTGGATTTCAACCTTCTTTGAAAACGTTGTCGGTATCTTCTCTAACCGTCGCGAATGATAAGGTGCATTGTCCATTACAATCACAGCATTATCCTCCAGATGGGGTAGAACTTTGGAAAATCACTGTTTGAAATATTCACCGTTCATTTCTTCGACTCGAAACACCACAGCCTTTCAGCAACAAACCCATTCTCATTGCCGATGTGACAAATAATAAGCCGTTTTTCTTTACCTGAAATTATGAAGAGATATGTAAGTAAATAAAACAAATACGAGGGTTACTTTTTATATATTGAGATTGAGGCAGGTCTTAATATAAATATAAGTTTACCTGATGGATTTGTTAAAATCCGGTGGATGGTCCATCTAGAAAGGCCCTCTTGGATGAGGTCACAGTTTCATCGACCCATACTTTAGGGGTAGTATGACCAGTATTAACCCAGGTTTCATCCTTATAATAAATTGTTTTCTGTTGTTTCCTATAATATTTAATTTTGGTCAAATACTCTCTCCTCCATATCACAATTTCCTCTCTATCTAATAATAAACTATTGCGCACTCGTTTTTCCATACAAAATTCAAATGTTTCAATACTTTATGGAATGTTGACCGCTTAACACTTGGCAATAAAACATCTTCATTTATTTCTGTGAGTACTTTATCTATCGTAGGTATTTCATTTCTGAAAAAGTACTCATGCACTTTCCTCCTGATTGCATGTTTACCAGCATCATCTATTGATTTTATAATGGTTGACGATTCTGATTTGTATTCGGTTTGGAAAATGTATGATTTTGTTTATATTGCCGTAAAACATTGTAAATCGAAGCGCAACACACTCCGATATTATCGGAAACTTTCGATACGACTTCGTCAACAGTCGATGTCTCAATTTTTTCCATCTCTTTCTTGAACACATTTGGAATCACTTCTTTCATCTCAACACTCAAATATCTTTTTTTGTATCGTTTCCTGGCTGGACTCAGAGGATAGCTCACAGTGTCATCAGCAGTGTCTGTACTGGACATTTCGGAAAACAATTTTAAACAATATACTATAACGCACACCACACAACACGCAAACGACTGATTACAACCCTGTGCTGGTACCGAACTCGTACCAAGAAAGGAATTCACCAATGCCCTTTCCATCTGACACTGGGCGATCACGTGAACATCACGCTTCGGTTTTGTTTTGTTTTACTCTATCTTGGATTTGGATAGACTTTAGTAGTTCTGATTCTTGCCTCTGGCTGAGGAAATCTTTGAATGTTCAATGAAAAAACCTGTCAAGCATGCATGCATCCATTTTAATTTTCAAACACTCACTTCTACACCGGAATAAAAACACTGTTTTTGACGAGCTTTTCGCTAACCAAGTCAGCACCATCAGAAGATGACTGAAACTGTATTTGCAACTAAGTCACACTGAGGCTGGGGGGCATGAAAATCGCGACAGACGAGCGACGGTGACCGGGGGGGGAGGCGGCGCAGCACGGGGTGATGAAGAGAAGTATTTTGCGTAGGCACGAAACTTTGGTTGGTCAGTCGTGCTGGAGTAGAGTTGTGAGCAACATGTCATGTCATCGTAACACAAGTTTACGTCGAAGAGAACTATTGGAGGAAGTCTACCAATGAGAAGGTAGTTACTATTACCTACAGATGGTGTTCATTGAGTTAATGAAGGAAGAAGTAATTTTGGCGAATTCTCTTCCCTTCATTACGAGATAAGGTAAACATTTCTACTGTCCATTTGAGCAGGTTTTGACAAAATACACGAGATGACTTCCTTATTACCAATTGCCATTTGGTATTGGAATTCTAATATTTTTCTACATAACACTAATAATCGCGAGCGACCTAATCACACTAGTTTGTTCTTGTCGCTTCCGCGCCGCCATCGCTCTCCTTACTTCCGTGCATCGCTCGATCACCCTGCCCCACCCCCGCTCATTTCGTGCACGTCACCTATACTGTAGATGTTTTTGTATGCATCGCCACCGTTGAGCCGTCGCGTCGCTTCGCTATCGCTCGGCTGTTGCCATTTTCGTGTCCTAAGCCTAAGAAACTGCAACTCATGCCAATGGTTTTGAACCTTTCCTACATGAGTTCATCCATATCGATCTTGATAACATTCATCAAAAAGACCGGTGTGGAAAAAGTTCATTCAAATCGACCCAGAAAGCACTAATCAAATGAATCAAGCGGAACACACACGGATTACTCAAGACCTCTGAAACTTTGAAGCGAAGAAATTCAAAATTGTCGTAGAAGATTGAATATCTGGGAGTTATATTAGCTTCCATGCTGACCTGGAATCAACATTTCTGAAGAATAAAGATGAGAGCAGAGGTAGCTCTGAAACAAACACACCTACGGAAGGCCATGAGAGCTAGTCTCAGCCATAACATATTATAGCTATACGTAATGGTAATTAAACACTTGGAAACATCTTTGAGGTGGCAGTCAATGATTAGATGCCTTAAAAATATTATATTTGATGTAAGCCAAACGCATAACTCTACAAAATTTGAAAAAAGTAATAGGTACAATTTTTTATCACTTATAAACAGATAGGTGTTTTGGGACTTCTTGATTGGTTTCAAGAAATATTGCGGTAACGAAAGTTCTTCTTCTTCTTTCCGAATATCCACCTTGTATACAACTAATGGTTCAAATCAGTGGGATTTATGTTTATTTCAAAGTGACACGAACATGCTAGGAATGTTCATAAAAAACAAAGAGTTTATGAAAATCACTGCAATTATTCAACCTAATGATCGATCTAGTTATGAAAAGCTAAAATTATTACCTCGTTCGTTCGCCTTGAACGACACCACACCGGCTTCTTTATTGAATTGTATTGGATAATGCCTGGAAATTTCTCTTCAGTGACGTGCAAGATCTAGTCAAACTCACCTGAAAAAAAAATATTTGATCGAAATCACAATGGTTGTTACAAAACAATAAAGAGTATGTTTCTCAATAATATGCCTATATTTGGTTAGATTTCGTACAAGTTATCGCGCGTTAAAAAAGCAAATCTTAGTCTGAATTTCACTAGTTCATACTTCCATTGTCTAATATTTAAAATGATTTGAAATCCCTGAAACAACTAAAAGAAGAATTAAAAATAAATAGCTGTAAATAACAATTATTTTGAGCAAAAAAACCTAAAATGAAATAATAGTGAAATGAAATACAAATATAAATAATACAATTGAACAAAAATGAAAAATAAAGATATACAAAATGAAAATAAAGGTAAAAATAAAAAAGTTAAGAGATTTCAAGGCCAAGTTAGTTCACGACCTTTCGATTTTTAGTATCCACAATCGTCTTCGGGTGATGACTGGACTGATTCCTCCGAGAGATGACTATTCATGGGTCGTTCGAGTACTTTCACTTATCCCCGCTTTCCATTTTTCCGCTCCACTGGTTCCGTGGGAGATGACCGTTTGACGGGAGTTGGCTATTTTTCGCTTGATGATAAGTTCCCTTTTGTTGCGTATTTCTACACTGGCTTGGCTGAATACGTTGTTGGACAGCATGTATGCGGCTTCCTTGAATTTTCTGCTAAACCAATGTTCCTCTCTGTGTAAGATCTCGGCTTGGGCCCACTCGATGTTTTGTTGATGGGTCCAAACATGGTCTGCTATTCCTGATTTGCTGGTTTCCCGTTGCAGTGTGTTTCTTGTGCTTGGTAATGCGAACATTCGGCTCTTAGTTTCACCAATACAGGATTTTCCGCACTCACAGAGTATCCGGTAAATGCAATTCTTGGAATCGGAGTCCGCGTTTGGTGGTGGTGTTATCGAATCTGTTGTTGTACTTGGAACCAATTCTGCTTATCCTCTCCGATAATCCTCTGATGTAGGAAAGTGCAAGCACTGGTTGTGACGGCTTCTCTTCTTTGCTAGGCTCCTGCTTTTTTTTAGCCAAAATATTTTCTACCATCGCTTTGGAGTTTAGTTCCTTTTCGAGACCTTACTTCGTGTTACAGAGCCTGAAAGCATGGTCTAATAGAGTCTTGTTTTAGTTGATTGGTGGTGGTTGGATTCGTGGTTCAGATACTGTCCCGTGTGAGTGGGTTTTCGGTATACAGATGTTTCCCACTTAGTGTCGATCCTCTTTACCAAAACGTCTAAGAATGGCAATTCGTTTTGGATTTCTTTCTTCATTGTGAAAGTGATAAAAGGTCTCACGCTGTTTATGTGTGTCAGGAAGGCATCTAGTTCAGTATTCCAATGGTTCCATATTATAAAGGTGTCGTCAACATATCTCAACCAGACTCGAAGTTTCTTGTGGGCTTCTTCAATGGCCAGAGTTTCAAACCACTACATATATGTATATGTTGGATATAACTGGTGAAAGTGGCGATCCCATTGGCAGTCCCTCATCTTGTGTAAATAATTCGTGCATCAGTTGGAAATAACAGTTTCGTACTCAGTATTCAGTATTTCAGGTTCCCGTCTTCGGATAGCTTTCTCTGTATGATTTGGAGTGCATCTTCGACAGGAATGTTGGTATAAAGGCTTTCCACGTCGAAACCAATCAGTTGATCTTCCTGTGTGACTTCAATTGACCCTAGTAGTTCAACAAAATGCCTTGAATTCTTCACAAAATACGATGTTTTCCTTGTAATGGTTGTATTATGGGAAGTAAAAATCTAGACAAGTTTTGAGAAGCCGAATCTCGGGAGTCGATGATTGGTCTAAGCGAAACGTGGATTTTGGGTAGTCCATACAAGTGAGGAGGCTTACTGTGATGCGGTATTAGCGATGATCTTTCCTTGTCCGGAGTCCGAACTAGTGAAATTCATCATGAAACATTGTCAATCACCTTCAAACAAATCTTAGGCTAATTAACGGAAAACCCCATTTCAAACCATTTTTTATAATCAGGGCTATTTCCTGACGAAAATTTCATATGAACATACGCAGATGTTCCTAAGCAGATGGCGCTATACGTAACCTCCTTGATATAATTCGAACTCATTTTACATGCATTTCTGCATTTGAAAAAAGATTTTTTTATCTTCCTTGGACTTGGTAGTTGATTTTCAGGCTCCCTCTCCAGAATCGGAAAATATCAATGGTCATTTTTCCAAACAATATACGGCTGAATGATCCCAAAGTTTAGATAAGATGAATATAGTTTAAAAAGACTAAAAACACACTTTTATAGCATACGAAACTAAAAAATGAAAAATAAATATAGTTTAAGAAAACTAAAAAACACGCTTTCAAAGAACACCGAACTGAAAAGTTAAAAATAACGAACGAAACATACTAGTAGGTATCATTGTGAAAAAAGCGTGGGCGCTTTGTGCCATATTTTTTGTATATCAAGCGCCTGTCGATTTTTTCACAATAATACTATTATTTTTCGTTCGTTATTGTTTTAAGCTTATTTAAAAAAATGTTTAACTTTTTACTTCGATTTTCTTCAAAAGAGTGTTTTCTTAAATTATATTTATTATTGTAACTTTGTTATGAACGCAGACATTTTTTTTGCAGCGTAGGTACGCATCTTTTATTCAACGAGAGGCGTGTTTTGCTGAAAAAAATAATTTAATATCCTTGCCTGTGGCATATTTGTACTGAATCATTTCAAAGGAAAAAGTGATATGTCACTGCACTTTTCGGGAAAAAATCTTTCTTCTAGTCATCATTCATTCCTGAGCAGGAGTTTTGGGATATAAATAACAGCTCATGTGCTTTGTGATATAAAAATTTGAAATATTTAGGAGTATCTCTTGAGAACAGCTGTTCTAGCAGCCAAGGAGTCTTGGCTGCTAGAACAGCCAAGACCTTAACGAGGTGATCCATCCTCTGTCATCAAGATGATATTTGTCATATAGTTTTCAGCCAAATGAAAACGTTCGAAATATCGAATTGAACTTCGCAGGCCCAACTCCGACCACTGTCATCTTTCCCATGAAAGTAAAGATCAGACAAGCCACGCGCGCTGATTAAATAATCTATGGATTCAATAAACAGCAATAAAATCGTACGTGTTGGAATAATCCCTTGTGTGTGGGTTCACACATATTTTACAAAATGCTCGAATGAAGTTGTCGTCGCAAAATGCCTTCCTTTCATTAGTCTCTTCTATCTTGGGAACATAAAAAAGTCGCAGGGAGCGAAATCTGGTGAATACAGTGGCTGAGGCATGATTACGGTGTTGTTTTTGAACAAGCAATGACGAGGATGCAAAAGCCATGAACTGTTTTTTCACAATACCAAACATTTTCTTCGTATTGCTTCTCGCAAGTGGCGCATAATTTCAAGAAAATACTCCTTATTGACAGTACGACCATGTAGCAAGAACTCCTAAAACACTACGCCACAGTAATCAAGTATTTCTAAAATTCCTCATATATTGACTCCAACAATAATTCCAAAGTCATTTCACTGATTCGCGAGTGCGGGTGCAGCGCATTTTACAGAGATCAAATGTTGCTTAGAATCTTTGTGTTCTTTCTTGCGCAACCGCGAAAATGTCAACTATTACTCCTTCGACAATCCAAACACGAACAACAAGCAATATACAAATCGATACAATTGAATATGGCTCGAAGGTTCAAGTATTTTTCAAATTTCGGTAAGTGCAGTCGCGAAATTACCATTTCTTGAATTTTACTAGTTCGACCTTCTATTGTCTAATATGATTCTAATGATTGGAAATTTATGAAAAAAAAAACGAAATTAAAATGAATAGCTGAAATATTAATTATATTAAGGAATAAAACGAAAAATGAAAATACAATAAAACGAATAAAGTAATCAAGATAAAAAAATGAAATAGACACAGAGTATAATGAAACAGAAAAGAATAAAAATAAAACAAAAAATTAACGGAAGAAATTTAAAAAAATTAAAAAAGATTTCGAACCAAGTTACCTCAGTCTAGGATGAAAGCAAATGATTGAAGTCTGAATTACTTTGCAAAAAATCAATTACCAATTACAGGTGAACGTGAAAAGTAAAGTTGCTAAGGAAAAAAATCTCACACAAAAATACTATTTCTTGAAAAAATATAAATGAACATATATTGAAAGGGTTATATTTTTAAGAGTGACTAATGAAAATGCGGGAATTTTCCAAAGAAAGGAAGAAAGTAATCAATTTTAAAATAAGTAACTGTATCCATGGATGTATAGATCATGCAAAGAAGTAACTTTCAGACACAAACTGGAAGAAAAAACCATCCCGAAACAGCTACTTTCGTATAAACATTGAATTACATGAACACTGAATTAAGCAGAAGACACTATCCTCTACTTATTTTGTATTCCAAACATTCGTTATGAAATAAAATCCGATATCATTCACAGGAGTTCTACATTCAATGAATGGTAAAAAAAAATTGCACTTACATGGAACACTGCAGTAATGGCATCTTTATTGTACAGATAACTGTAATATTTATTTACTATATTTCTCCTATTTGAATTCAAAAAGTAACCAGTCATATTATTCCAAATTTCCAGAGATCTGCCATCAATTAAAAATTGATTTACTTGAAGTGCCCAGTTATATTTTGCATCAGTCGTATTCATTAATTTTATTTGTTGTTCACAACAAAGTCTTGGATAACGATCACTCTCCATGGTAAGATTCTTGTGCAGCCAGTTTAATGTAATTTTAAAAATATAAAGTGCAAGTTTAACTTGTCCCGTTTCCAAACATACTATTGCGTCGGATGTGTTAATAGGCACTTAAAGAATTATTTTCAAGAAACTGAGATGTACTCTTTCTAATACTTCCAAATATATAATGCCCCATGCCGTAACGGAGTTGAACATAACACTCATTGCTAATGATTCAAATAATTTTACTCGTGGATACAAGGTATCAATTTTAGCTTTAGACAAAATAGGGATTACAGAGCCTGTTTTCCCTTAATGCTAGCAA